AGATGGGAGCAGCATTGCTCACAGAAGGGAGATCAAACACTCCATAGAAAATGCATGTTACAGTGCAATTGTCCTCCGGGTGTCATGGGATTATGAAAGTCTAACTTAATTAAAGGAGAAAATAGATCACACTTAATAACCACGTATGTGACACATCATCTTGACTATATAAAGTAACTGGAGAGGAGAAGAGATTAAAAAATTATAAATACAAGAAAGACACACACAAAATGCCTTAAACTGTTCTCCATCGGAGTCAGAGAAGTGTTTTGATTCTGTATGTATATAAAGTTTACCATTGTTTTAATTTCTTTCTTTAAAAACATCTGCAGTATACTTGAAAAAGAAACTTTAAGTGCCAATGGAAAAAAAATAGCCCAACCAAAAATTAAAGAAAGAACTACATTAGGAGATAACATATTCGCCTCATAAAAATACACCATTCATCATTCTTCCCTTTCTTCTTCTTCAAATGACAGCTAATAAGACATTTGTGAACCCTACATAGAATCTTCTCCCTTTCAGCACTTGATGTCCCTGTGGGGTTGGGCTAATTACAGGTACATTTCTTGTGGAAGGCACAATCTTTCTACCATACTGCAGAAGCACAATAAATAATTGAACAAAGCTAGCTGGATTATTTTTTCTCACAGGGCCACAGGTTGCAGGCAGCTTTGCTGTCACATACGGAGCAGGACTCTTCCTTGGGTGTCTCTAAGAAAGGCTTTGTTTGATAGGCTGAAAAGGTTCACACTGTTTCCAAATTTTGAAAGCGATAAAACACACATAAAATCCTGGTGTCCTTTATAGAATAGTAAAGGCAAATACTCTCTCCTGTCACTAGGAACATGATTTTGATCAGCTGGTTGGTTATTTAGGCCAGATGTGAAAGAGATGAAAGAGTAAGCCTGCAAATTAATACTTGTTGTCAGGGAGAAGAGGATTCCATCTTTGATCTACAAATGCATCAGGGAGCTGGTTGCTCATGTGCCCCAAAAGAATTTGGCACACAGAGAGGGCCTAGATAGATGACTGTAGAAAAGTAAAGTTAATGTTTTATCCTGTTCAATATAGTACTCAAAACTAGCACAATCAAGCAAGGCAAAGAAAAAAAGGGATGTGATTAGGAAAGGAAGAAATTAAACTATCCTTTATTCACAGGTGACATGATCCTTTGCATAGAAGACCCGAATAACTCCCCCAAAAGATTTTTAGAACTATTAAACAACTTCAGCCAAGTAGCAGGATACAAAATCAATACAGAAAAATCAATAGCATTTCTGTATACCAACAAGGAATGACTGAGAAAGAAATTAGGTAAACAATCCCATTAATAGTACCTTTAAAAAAATTAAATATTTAGGAATTAACCTAACCAAAGTGAAAGCCTCTATAACAAACACTAGTGTACTCTGAAAAGAGATTGCAGAGGACATCAGAAAATGGAAAGACATCCTCATTCCTGGATAGGTAGAACCAGTATTGTCAAAATAGCCATATAACCGAAAATGATACATAGATTTAATGCAACCCCAATCAAAACACCACCAACATTCTTCACAGAACTAGGAAAAAAAAATCCTAAAATTTACATACAACCAGAAAAGACCAGGAATAGCCAAAGTTATTCTGAGGGATACAAACAAAACAAAAGGCATCACAATGTTAAGCATAAAGCTATATCACAAAGCTACAATGATTAAAAACAGCATGGTACTGGCACAAAAACAAACATGTTGACCATTGGAAGAGAACTAAGGATGCAGAAACAACCCTGGGCACCTTTAGCCATGTGATCTTCAACAAAAGGAACAAAAACATATACTGAAGAAAAGATACCCACATTAACAAGTGGTGCTGGGAAAACTGGTTATCCACCTGGAAAACAATGAACCTAGACCTATCTCTCTGATTTAGTGCTAAAATCAAATAAAATGTATCAAAGACCAGGTATAAAAACAGAAACACTGAATCTGCTGGAAGATAAAATATGTTAAACTCGTGAAGTTATAGGCACTGGCCAGGACTTTTTGAACAGAAACTCAATTGCACAAGAAATAACATCATGAATCAATGAACGAGGTTTTATCAAATTCTACAGCTCCTTGGCTCCAGGAATTTAGCTCAGTGGTGCCACTGCCTGCCTCACAAGAGAGAGGTCCCGAGATCCATCCCTGGTACAGAGAAAAAAAAAATATTCAACAGCTTCTGCATAGCAAAGGAAACAAACAACAGAGCCAAGAGACAACCTAAAAAAATGGGAAAATTTATTTTCTCAGCTAGTCATTGGACAGAGGACTAATATTTAGAATATGTAAAGAATTAAAAAAATTAGACAGCCTAAAATAAAGGGCAGAATCAAAAAAGGGGAAATGGAACAAATAGATACTTCCTGAAGGCAGTAAAAATAAACTCATGAAAAATGTTCAACATCTTTTGTTGTTAGATAAATAAAAATCAAAACAAACTGATATTCCATCTAATTCCAGAAAAATGGCTATTATCAAGGACTCAAAAAAAAAAACCAAAACAAATGTTGGCAAGGTAGTGGGTAAAAAGGAAGACTTCTATATTTTTGGTAAGAATGTAAACTAGTACGACCCCTGTGGAAATCGAATGGAGGTTCCTTAGAAAACTAAAAACAGAAATTCCATTTGACCCAACTATACTTCTGGATATCTTCCAGAAAAAGTTAAAGACATCATATTATAGGGATGCATATATACCCATATTTATAGCAACACAACTCATAATACCTAAATCTTGGTAACAGCCTATATGCCATCAACAGATGAATGGATGAAGAAAATGTGGTATTTATACACAATGGAGTACTACTCAACTATAAAGAAGGATAAATTTGAGTCATTTGTAGGAAAATGAACGCAGTTGGAGACCACAATGCTAAGTGAAATAAATTAGACATGGAAGATTAAATATCATATGGTTTTTCTAATATGAGAAACTCAAAATATAAGTACCATAATTTAAAAAGCACAATAAAAGATACTAGGAAACAGGGAAATCAGTTATGGAGAGATGGGAAGAGGATTTGGGGATTGATAAGTTGGAAAGAAGAGAAGTGAAGGAAAGAAAAAGGATGCAGATGAGATATGTACATGTGCAAATTCCCACAATGAATGTATCTGTATGCATTGTAGACACATACTAAGAGAAAAAAGTAACTTTTTGATATGACTGCAGGAATGTGATGGAGGCTACCCCTAAAGCTCTATGGGGCCTTAGATGAGAACAGCAAATCCTTGCCCCATGTCCTAGGCCATGGTCTGGGGAAAAGGCAGGAAAACTTTTCTCTAGAGGACCAGATAGAAAATATTTTCAACTTTGTGGCTCAAGCCCACAAAGCTTTGCTGTTTTAGAACAAATGCAGCCACAGACAATGCACAAATGAATAAATATGGCCATATTTCAATAAAACTTTATGTACATACATTGAAAATTGAATTTCAGGCATATTCTTGTATGTTAAAAAGTGGAATTCTTCTTTTGATATTTCCCAGCCATTTAGTAATTTAAAAATACTTCTTTTTTTTTGTTCTTTTTTTTTTTTTTGGTACCAAGAATCGAACTTGGGTCCTTCTGCTTGCAAGGCAGGTAGCAGAACCACTGAGCTAAATCCCAGGCTAAAAATAATTCTTGTTTGCAGGCTGTGCACAAATAGGACAGACTGGATCTGGCCCAGAGGCTATCAGTTGCTGATGACTTGTATTGGATTTTAAATAATATATCCAGAAACTTCATAATTAATTATGAAATATAACACAAAATAAATATAATAAGAAAATAAGATAGAAAAGGAGAGTAATGTGTATATGAATTTGATTCCATAAACTCCTATGTAGTTTGCTTAATATCAATTATATTAATGTACAATTTATACATAACAACATATACTTTTACAGATGGGTCATAAATTTAGCTTTATGTTTGCTAATAGTTAATCCAATAAAGGACTTGAGAACATTTATAAAAACTCACTGAAGTAATTTATAAAAAATTAACCATTGCTCAGGAAAAAAGCAGTAGAGATACTGAAAAAATGAGGAATTTCTTCCAAAGGAATTTCAAAATATTGATAGTGTAAAATATCAATAATCTTTAGATAATAGTATTACATTGAACAGAATTATTTTAGATTTCCTTGATAAAGTCTTTAAATAGAAGCTAATAGCTTTTATTCCAAATTGTCAGTAAGTAAGAGCAATTGCAAGTTGGGATAGGAGTTGGCAAGATGGGCTTGGGGATAACATGCCATCTGAGTAGAAAGGACTCTGAAGGTTTATCTTATTGCAGGAGTGAGATATGTGAGATCTGCAGGTTCAGACTTCAGAAAATCCTCTTTAGGGGCTTTTCCATGTGAAGTCTAAACTGAGTCTATGAGGCAATAAGATTAAGATTGATCCCCAAATAAGTAACTCATGCATTGCTTATGTACATTATTAATCAACGATGAGTTGTATGTCTTAATAAAGTTGGGCTTTGAGTGACATTTTCACAGAAAAAATAGTTGCCTCTAATAAGAATATCTGCTTGAATATAAGACCAGATACCAAGGACAGGGCATTAGAAATCAAAATAATTTTGTATGATTCCCAACTACTTTCTTTTTGAGATGTTTCATATTAGGAAACTAACTAGTGAAAAGCAAAGTAAAACAAATTTACAAAAAGTATGTAAATTTAATTCATACAAAACATTTCCCCAAGACACATAACCACCAAATTCACATTTGTTGCCTATTGAAAGTGAAAAAATATGTATGTATGCATATACATGTATATGTATATATACACATACACAGATTCAATGCTATGGCTATAAATTTTAGAAAGATGAACACATTACTAATGCCCATGGGGACTATAAATAAGAACTTTGTTGGAAATTTCCTAGTATTTTCATAAGATACATTCTTGCCCTTCCAATTCCCTGGAATCTTAAAAAGTATGAGGCATCTTGGAAATTGGAGGGTTGCTTACCAGTTGGTGTAAGGTGTCTCCAGGTAATGACAGGTTCAGGGCGGCCATTGGCCATGCAGACCAGGGTCACATTGCTGCCCTCATTCACAGTGACATCCGAGGAGATGTTGGAGATCTTTGGTGGAACTGTAAAGAAAAGCGAATGGAATGTGTAACCAGGTAAATAAAAGCAGGCTTTCAGCACTGGTCCTTGTGACTGAAGGTGACAAATGTGAACTTCTATTACTTAATTTGAAATTTCATGTCATGTAGCCAGGTTTAAGACTCACACTTGTCATCTGTCCACCAAGTCTCTTAGGAGCTTCTAATGCACTACTAGCAGCTAAGGTCCTCTTCAGCTCTGGTTACCTGAGTGCTGTAAGAAGCACCTGGACTCCTACAATGAAAATATCTTAGATATTTTCAGATGAGAATAAATTTTATTTAAAAACCAGAAGCGCATACATTAGTATAAATTAAGAATAGCTTATTATTACTGTTAATTAAATTTATTAACTTATGTATATGAAAAAAGAAGTGTCCAACCTCTCTTTAAATGCCAGAGAAAGAAAAAGTGTTATTTAGTATAGATTGCATCATTGTTAGTAATATAAAGTACTTACTTGGCCATATATGGAATTCCTGGGTTAGTCACTACAATGGAAAGCCTCTAAACATGGTCTTTGCTTGTGACAGGCCAGATGATCTACTTTAGAATGTGAGCACTGAATTAATAAGGCCTATGTTGGACCAGAGATTTAGCTCAGTGGTTCTGCCATGGGCCTCATAAGCACAAGGTCTCGAGTTTGATCCCCAGGTACCAAAAAATAAAAATAAAAATAAAAAATAAAAAATAAGGCCTATGTTAAGACAAGTAGATATTGCAAAAGTACTACACTACTATTATTCTCAATACTACTATCATCACCATTACTAACAATTTAATAATAGCTAACTTTAATGAAACAATTACTGTATCTGAGGGTTGGTGTAAAGTACTTTATAAGTATCATCTCAGCTTCTTATAACAAAGACATGATATTCTATGAGGATTTTATTTACTGGTAGGAGTCTGAGGTATAGATGGAGCCAGATGAGAAGCAGAAAAAGAATTCCAATCGAGCTGCCTCCAGGACCCATGCTCTTAAACGCTTCCCAAACGAAATTTCATCTTCACAATCCAGGCTACCAGATGGCAGAAAATGACAGAAATTACTTTTTGGTGATGTGAAAAATGAGTCCCCAAGGGCAAGCTGTACTGCCGTCTGACTTCCTTCATTAGTGTTCAGGGTGGCAACATTAGATCCCACATTGGTAGGCTTAAGTGGGAAGTGAATTACTCACAAATTTCATCACAGAGGTTATGCACTGATTACAAATAGGAAGGCTTGGAGTCAGTTGTGATTTTCCTTTTACTCAGTTGCTTATGCTATCCCTGAGAAAGTTTGAGTCCAGGAGAGGAGGACAAGAAGGCATGAAGGAGCTCGATAATAAAAGAATCTTATTTTTCTCATTTTTCCTTCCCATTACAAACTCTCCATTCCTGCCTAACAAGAACAAAGTTATCTGCTTATAGAGACAACTGCCTGACAGTCATATGATCCCTACAAATTGTTTTAGGTGATATTGATGGTACTTGGGCCACTGACCAGTTCAATGTCACGAGAAGGAAGTGGGTGGGGGCTAAAATCTCTCAGGATTTCAGCATTCTTTGTACACATTTTATAGGGCCTTTGGGTAGAAACTGGTGATTTTAGGCCCAATGCCAGTACCAGGGTATAGCTGATTTCTATTATTTAGCATTCTCTATTTATAGAGTATCTACTCTGCCTTTTAGATATTGGATATAATGGTCATTTTCTTGTATTCATATATTGACTTGCAAATGTTCTCCTAGACTTTTTAACCTGTTTTGTACTGAAATATTTAATCTGTTGATCATACCTCTTTTTTTCTAGTCCTTTCTTTTCCTGGTTTTTAGGACAACAGACTCAATTTCTTCTCCTCTTACCCTTCTGGACAGCCTCTCCAATTTAACTTTTGGGATCATTTTACCCTGTTCCTTAAATATCTGTATTTAAGGTCTTGATCACTGTCCTCTTACTTTATCTAAATGTGTGCATTCATTAAATGATCTTACTTACTTTGCAGCTTCAGAAGCTAAGACCCTGTTATCTATGAGTTCCACATCAGTATTTCCAGCCCAGATTTTTCTTGCCACCTTCATCCCTATATTTCCAGTTGACTATTCTTTACCTCCATCAGATGCCTCACAGATACTCCGATGTCTCTTCTCTCCGTCTTTCCATGAAACACTTGCACACTTGCATTTTGATTAGCTTGAATAGTCCATTATGTAAAGAGTTGCCGGAGCAACAAAAATAACACAAACCCCCAAAATAAATAATATAAGGGATCATCCTTAACTGCTCTCCTTCATTGTTTTCATTTGACCCTGAAGTTTTGTGGCTTATCCCTTTTAAATTCCTTTATTACTCCCAGGAAGCCTTGTTTCAGACATAGACATTTCCATTTTTTAAAATCTGAATTGTCACAAGAAAATTAAAACAGAATTTCTTGCCTCTACTCTTCCTCTTCTTGGGCTCAGCACCTTACATCCACCACATGACAATCATTTTTTTCTAAATTATGTATTTGAGCATAGTATCCCTTGATTAATCTAATTTCCCTCAAGCTTTGAAATCTAAGCTTCTTAATAAGGTTTAATGGGTCATTCATGATTAGCTTTTGCTATTCTCTCCAACTTAATTTCTTCCTCCTTTTGCACTGAAACATCCAACTCAGAAGTCAGATCAAACAAGATTTGGTTCTGAGAATGTGCTCTATTCATGTCACACATGGCCATTTGACTCTGGTTTTTGTACCTATGTGAAATGTTCTTCTTTCAGCTCTTCATGTGGTTAGCCCCTTCTCCCTTCATGTTTTAGACACTCATCTTGTCCTCTTACTTTCTGCCAGGACAACTTTTCCGTCACTTCCCACCTCCATGGCTACCTGTTTCTGATGTCAAGTGTGGTAAACTGTCCCTCCTGTATTTTCACCGTAGGCCCCTTATTGTTCCATGCTGTATACTGAATCACAATCGCTGTGTTACCTGTGCCCTTCACTAAGTTCTAAAGGCAAGCAATAGAGCCTTTGTTTCCCTGACCACTAAATCATAATGCAAGGTTCACAAAAAGCTGAGTAGAGTCATCTCCAGAGAATGTCAATCTATATCAGGTAACTATTATTTTATGCTTCTTTATTGTTCAGAAATAATAATTAGATTGATACTTATCTTTCAAGTGGAAATTGGCTAAAAATTACTGGAGAAAAATCTGATTCCCATACTATAAATAAATTTCAGGTGATTTAGAGTTCTGATAATAGCAAAAAATTCAAAGGAAAAGAAGAAACATATATACATATTGAACTGATCTTATAGAAAAGGATAATTCATGCACAAAAGCAATGAAAGAAATCATGAAATGTTAACAGATATAACAACAATGAAAGTTTAAGCTTCTGCAAAATAAAAATAATCACAAACAAAATTAGGAGCCAAAGAATAAATTGGGGAAGCTGGAACATGACAGGCAAAGTTCAGTTCCTTACCATATAAGTAGCTCTCATTAGCCACAAAGTAAAATAAAACCATCCAGACTAATTGGAGAAATCACTGAAACTGAGAAGTTTGAAAACATTAAATAAGTAGTTCGCGGCCTTGCATGTAGGAAAACATAATAAATCATCTAGTATACTATGAATAGAGATATTCTAGAAAAAACCCAACTTCTCAAGAGTATTATGATGACCCAAGAATTGAGCATAAATCGATATTACAGTGTTTGAAAAATAAACAACTTACACTTCCTGATACAAGTAAGTTCATCATGTTAAACATTATTTCCTAGATAGTCATCCTTAGTAAGAATGAAAATAATGTGAAAATACTATTTGTGTCATGTTCACAGAAAGGACTATTGTTCTTCATTAGTTTCTGCAACCTGGATGACCTAAGAGGCATAACTTCTATGCTTTTCAAGACGAGGTTTTTATTTTCTCTTTGATTCTATGAGCTATTCTATATTGATCCAACAAATCACCCTTTTAACTCAAATTAGTCAATTTTTGTTGCCTAAACCAAAGAATCTTAACTCTTGAAAGTTGGGAAGCAGTCATAGGGTGAAAATTTGAAGAGAGACCTGTACATAGATGTAAATTGTTGTTTACTTTGTCTACATACCTCTTTGGCTCCCACAAAACTAATTTAATTGCATATTTATCATTGCTTCTTAAGTGTCAGTACACACTGCTTTAAAAATAACCTTAGGCCTGCAAAATCATCTAATTCCTGCTGTGAGTAGTTTAATGCCTTTATTGTTTCTCCCTAACTGACCAACTAACAGAAGGAAACCAATCAATATTCCAGAGTAGGAAAGAAAAGTGGTCAGTTGGCTCATTTCCTTAACCTCAAATAATTAGCAGTTATAACGTATACAATTCAAAATGCCATTCATAATGGTACAAATTAGTAACCAATCAGACTCACTAGTTATTACTCATTCAAAGTCGGGACAAGGTGTATTTGTTTAGTGTGTGTGGTAATGATAAGGGGTTAAAAAACACTCTAAACTCCTTAAATTTTCTAACTTTTCTTGAATAGAGTGAGAGAAGCTTAAGCTGCCATTTACACATGTGGCAGGCTCTGGTGTAGTACAGCATGTCTATATAAGACTTGGGTTCTGAAAGCTTGGCTTGGTGGAACATCCCTGTAATCCCAGCACTCAGCAGCCACAGCAGGGGGAAAAATCACAGGTTCAAGCCCAGCATGGGCAATTTAGAAACCTAGAGAGACCTTTTCTGAAAAAATAAAAAAGGCCTGGGAATGTAGCTTAGTGCAAACTCCCTAGCTTCAGTCCTTAGTACCACAACAAATAAATAGATAAATAAATAAACAAAGTTCTAAAATACACAGTATATTTATTCAGCAGTGCTTGACTTTTAATAAACACTATCCCAGGAGTCAATGATAGGAATAAAATATATAATATAACACATAAATGCCATCTTGTGAAACAGCAAACATCTATCCAGCTTGGCATTTTGGTTCTATAAATGCCACTAAAGCGTGTTTTAGTGCACAG